TTAATTCTTCTTTAAATTTTCAGGTACCTGTGCCTATTTTGATGGCCTCTGGCTCTTCCAGGACTGTGCTCACGAGAGGACAATGGGCTGTCTCTGGCATCTTGCCAGTCTCTGCCACAGGACTGAGAATCCTGATGACAAAGAGAGGGCATATTGCCAACTATCCTGTGTCCTGGCGAGTTTAAATTGCAATTTGAACCTTTAGGGTTGTGACTGGAGGGGAAATGCAACTTCCTGGTTCATAGGGAGAGGTTCCAAAAGTTTTTCTGACTCCTTTTGATGATTAACAGCAAATGTAAATGAGTCAGAAAGAAGTATATCACATTTCTCAAACAATGCATACGGATTTGGGCAAACACATGGAAGAGTTTTGGGAAAACGAAGGCTGATCTTTTTTTTTTTTTTTTCTTGTCCTTAAACATTAGAAGTATCATTAGACCTGATCCTAAGCACTAGACCAGATTTTTCCATTTCCAGTTTTCCCCGCTGGGATGAGTAAATAAACAGATGGAGTAAAAGCTTCAAAGCGAGACACAAAGAATGTGACAAAGGGGGCTGTTGACTACAGAACACTAGGGGAGGATGGGGTTGACTGAAATGCGAGAAAAAGGAATTTGGGATACAAAATCATTGCCAAAGTGTCAGGGGGAGGCACCATAGGTGACTCGAAGCTGTGGACCTCTGGCCAGCCCCATCAGAGGCCAAAGGAGAGAGGGGCTGAAAGCAGACAGGAGAAGCAGAGGCTACCCCCAAACACTGGAAGATCCAAGGAGCATGAGCCCATGCTTCTTTGAAACAGTCTGAGTTACAGTGAACCAACAGATTCCTTTTTCACCAGACCGGCTTCACTTCTCTAGAACACTGGTCCAGAGAGGACCCCAGAGCTAGAAGGTAGTTTCTTCAATGGTGGCAGAGGGACCTTCATGAAGCATCTAACAGGTTTAATTGAAAAGAACAAGTTGAAGTGGTGAGAAAGTGGCAGATGCCTCATGGGGTTCAGAGGTCTTATTTCATTGTATCATTGAGACCCCCTCGGTGGATCTTCCTGGGGGGATTGTAGGAAAACTAGGGGAGCTTCAAGTCTCCTCATAATGAGTGAGACCCAACAGAAAAACACATCAGAGGCTGAACAGAGGGTCTTGTGTCTTTTTATGTGTTAGCAACTTGAAGTAGTTCCTCTTCACTCATCTTAGTATTTTTTTTGTCCCATGTGCAGAAGGATTCAGATTTATTGATTCAACTATAGTACCTAACATCTGCTCAACATGCACTTTCAGACTTGTTGACTAAAGTCAAGTCATTGCTGGTCCCATTGCCCCTGCTGAGGTGACCGCTTCTCATCAGCATTCAACTCGGCAGTTGTAGCAGATTTCAAGCCCTCTCTGCTGCTACGTGCCAGACCATGCATTGCCCCCACCACCCATTTTCCTACACATATTCCATTGCTATTTTTCATGGACTGCTGTTGCTGATTGTCCCCGTCCTCACTCTGGCCTATTCTCAATGTTGATCACTCTACCCTGCACCCTGGGGCACTGCCTTTCTATGCTGCATGTCCACAGCTTAGGGCTCTTTCTACCATCAGCAAATACCACTTTTTGGGAGAAGATTACAGTGAATGTATGCCATTTATTACTTGAGTTGGATCAAGTTCTCGTTTTGGCTTGGACAGGGATGAAGGAGCAATGCTGCCATAGATGATATTGTGACAATCATGTTCTGTAGTCCTTTCAGCATCAGGAAATCATGTCCATGGGATGAGTCTGCCTTTATGGGACAAATATACTCATTTTATTAGGTCCTCCTCCTTATCGGTCCTACCACTGCCGCCTTTGTCCTTGTGATAGGTAGGCTCTGAAGGTTGCTGCACTGGAGGGGGCATCTGTGACCAGTCCCTCCAGCTTGGTATGTTGTGAAAAGAAGAAAAGTAGGAATATGAAGAATTCAGGTATATATTTTATAGATTCCTTTCTCTGGCCCAAAATCCTAGAAGAGAAGTATATTGATAAACTAAGGAAAAAGCCAAAATAATAGGGAATTTTTCCTACTTTTTACCTGGGACTCTAGAAGCAAAAAAAAATTATTATAGGGGTCCCTTACCCTGACACATGATGGCCACATTTGTGTAAAAATGGCAGCATGACAGAGTTGGGTAGACAGCAAGACTGAGTTGTTAGGTCTGAATCACTCCTGAGTTTTGTGTTACCTGAAAGGAATTCAGAAGTTACTTCGGGCCCCACAAGGGATAAGGAGGGCTGAGCTGGAATTCCGTGGGCCCCCCATGGGGCAGACAGGGTGGCCTAGCTGCAGAGCTTCTAGAGAAGGACTTTATGAAGGATATGACTGAGATGCAGAGGGCTGTGCTGCTACAGGAGGAACCTCAAAGGGGCTAGGCCAGCCAGGGAGGTCCTCTGGTTCTAACCAAGCCCAGAAACGAAGTCATAAGTGTTCTAGCTGTAGACTTTACTAAACACTGGGGCAGGGGATGGGCAGTGTCTAGAGGGTACCACTATGTGAATTCCAATTGCTGTCCACCCAGGGAAGGGGTGGAAGAAAGAAGAGCAGAAGGAGCCCTGTCAGGAAATTGATCTTTGGATGATTTATTGATTATCTGAAGTGAGACTCTTTTAAGGTTTACAATATTATTTCTTCTCTTCTGCCCAGAGGAGGTATAAATTAAACTAAATTAGATCAGTTTATTTTCTCTCTCTTTCCACACTCACTCATAGAGAAATATAAATACATATTTATTTTTTAACATTGGGTCTTGATCAAATATCAAATGAAACATAAGATAGTGAGACTAGAATTATATCAAGTAGTTAAAAGGCATCAAAATTTTAATTGTTTTATCTCCTGACCCTTCTCATGATCTTATGTTTTGTTTTTATCTATTATTGTTTTTCTTAGACAACTTCCTCAAAAATCTCAAGCACATCGTAATTCATTTTCTACCATATTGCCACATTCAAACATTTCCACACTTCCCATTTCTACACTGATAGGTCCCATGGTTCTTTCCTCTTCTCTCTGTACCATTGCTGCTGTTGTCATTCAGATCTTAAGACTTGTCTAGACTCCTAGAATAGCCTCCTAACTTCCTGCCATACCTCCCAAACTTTTGGCACCCAATATCTATTACTTTGATAAAGGATATATCTGACCATTGCAGTTGTCTCCTCTAAAATAATGAAATGACTTCCCATTGATTGAAGAACACATTCAACCTACTTATGTTCTTCATAACCTGGCTGGAGCCCACATTTCAAACCTTTTTTCTCCACTCTTCCCATGATTCCCATTCCCATAATGTTCTAGACTTGCTGTTTTCTGAATATACTTCTACTTTTTCACCTCATACTCATGTCTCCTGATCTGTCCCTTTAAGTACAGTCTTTTTCTGCTGTTGTACTTTATTTTTGCTTCTAACATAGAACACAGTCTGTGCCATAGTATACATGATCCAGCATAAATAACTCCCCTTTTCCATAACAAAATCATAAGCATGTAATTCTGTAACATAACAATATCACACTCAAGCCATATAACATTTTAGGTGAAATGTTCAAATTAAATCTATAAATTATTACACCCATATTATTAATGTACCAACCACACTCAAGCAGGCCTTACTTCTGCTGGGCCCTGTAGATGGCTGATTGACTTCCTTTCTAGACTGAAAGTCCCTGGAAGGCAGGGACTCCATTGTTAATTATCCCATTTGCTAATTAAATATGCCCCCCCTTACCTAACACAGTGGCCTGAATCCAGTGTATGTAATAGATGCATGTAAAAATACTTTATAAATGACAAAGTGCTATGTAACTAGTAATCATTGTATTATTTGTTAAATTGAGTTGGATTTACTTTTAGAATTCTCACCCATTTTCTCTGGGAGAAATGATTTCTCATCAGTGGAAATTTTAGAATAACTGATATAACGTCTCAAGACAATCTAGGCAGATATATCTCTGGAGAAGGCAGAAGGAGCCTTAGTTTTGGAATGTTCTCTTTCTTTCACAAACATGTTCAGAGGTCCAGCCTTGCCCAGTGCTCCCTCCAAATTTTTCTGTGGTCTCTATTCACCTCATATTAAAAATCACAAGCATTACTGGACATTTCCCCATTATGGCAGATCAAAGAAAGCGACACTCTAGTACGGAATGTCAGGCTCTGGGAAGCTGGCACTGGGCACAGGTTCTACCGATGCTTGGCTTGCATGTGGAAACAAGCATCTCTCTGCTGACCCTTGGGCAGTACACATGCTATGAATATATCATGCTGGGCATTTCCTGATACAGGGATTAGTTTCATATCTAGGAATTCCACAAATGTTCTCAGAAGCCTTTGGGATATATAAATTTTAAAAATAATCCTTCAAACCCCAACACAAATATTCTAGGGCTCCATATGTCAGCACTTTTCCTTGAAACACCTGTAAGTCCTGCTATCATTTGCATGAAGCAGGAAAGGGCAAGACCACAAGCTGGATCACATACTTCTAAGTAAAAATGTCCTCAAGAAATAGAAATGAAGAGATTGGCACAACCCTATTAAATACCTGCCAACTTACTCTTTGAGAACCCTGGAAAGTTTGATTAAAGCAGAGAAAGAAAGAGAGAGGAGGAACAGGGTGGGGTGGGGGGGGGGGAGAGAGAAGGGGAAAAAGAAAAGACAGAAAAGGAAAGAAAGAAAAATAATGAATGGAAAGAAGGAAAGAAGGGAGGGAGGAGGGAAGGGAGGGAGGGAAAAATAGAAGTGAGCTTCTGGAAGCTGTTACTCATCACTTGGGTAAATATTTGAGGACTTTGTTTTTGAGGCAACAAATCAGCCAACCAACAATTATCTAGGTCAACTTCTGGAGTGTCCACATGGAAGAAGAAATAGGCCAAAGGGGACTAGAGTAAGATATAAAACAAAATTTTTCCCAGTATGAGATATTTGTGGAATAGTACCAACTCTTCTCTCCTGAACAATGCAGTTGTGAAAATCCGTCCTACCTGCTATACTGACAGTGGCTGCAGCCTTTGCAGTACTGAATTTCTCTCCGTGCTTATTAGTAGCGATGCATGTGTAGAGTCCTGGCTTGGTGATAAACAGCTGCAGCCTTGAGTCAATCACTCGGTCTTTCACACTTTCTTGAATGGACCCAGAAGAAACCTGGTGGAGTAGGGAGGGAAAAAAAAGAAAATAGAAGCAGTTCAAGGATTTCCTAATTTGCTAAATCTGTAGACTTGAAAGAAAAAGGATTAGTAATATGATCAAAAGGCATGTGGTAGACGGCAAAAATAGCCAAAAAATTTTATGTCTCTGTGCTCATGAGCTTGCAGCGTGAATTTGTAGCTCTTCCCTCAAAAGGTAGCATTTTTCTCCATGCTTGAACCTAGACTGGCCTTGTGACACAGCTTAAAAACACAGAGAGATTTGTAAAGTTCTTATTCATTGTGGCTTGCTATCTTGTTGCCCTTGGAACCTCTGACCTTCTATGAACAAGCCAGAGCTAGCCTACTAGAGGATGAGGCACACACAATGCCCAGGTTATCCTGCTGTTCCAGCCAACAATAATCACCTGATATATGATAAACCCATTCAAGACCAACCAGCACCCAGTTTCCCTGCTAATCACAGGAGCTAGATCAGACAAGATCAGATAATTCTGGTCCAAATCGACAAAACTACCCAGTTGACTCACAGACTCGTGAGTATTAATCAATGGTTATTGTTTTAAGCCACTCTGCTTTGGGATGATTGTGATATAGCAATAGATAACCAATGCCATGTAGGAAAGATATACTGTGTGAGAATATCCCCCAAGAGGTATTCTCTATCTTTTGAAGATAAAGATAGTTAAGAACGCGAGGTGGTATTTTTGGACTTATTTTCATAACTTCTGTTCAGTTCCCCACAGAGGCACATCAGATAGGCGGATGGCTACCAAGAAAAATGTTTGTGAAGCTGATTCTTTTTCTGAGCCATGACATATGTTGTGCCATGCTACTTAAGTCAGAAAATCAAATGTCCTGGAAGGGGCAGGATATCACTGCAATATTAGCACATAATTGAGGGGTTTATATATGCAAGTGCTTAATTATTAACATCATCATGCCAACTCTGTGGTAAGGACAGCTGCCCAGCATATTCTATGTTACAGAGGTAGAATTTGTATCCTAGTTTCTTTGACCCCAAATCTTGTGCTTTTAATCACTGTTATAGTGCCTTTCCCAGTCCTACAAGTAGAACAAGAGTCATTAGAAAACAAGAACAGTAAAAATAATTTCAAAATCAACCAACCACGAACAAAACAAACGTGTGACTTAAATGTCATTATGAAGATGGTAGCATTTTTAAAAATGTCAATTTACTCTTTTCTTCAGCAATACGCCATCTTTTTCAAAATTACTCTTTAACTGTCACTGCTTCTATGAGGGGAAAATGACAGTTTGAGGGAGGGAATCAGACTTAGGTTTGCTTTGACATTATCTGGGAGGGGTAGACGTGGATTCCACGGGCCTCAGTAGAGATCTCTCTGTCCTACGTAGAAGGGAGAGGGGCTGGGAATGAGAAATTCGGAGCCAGTTATTTTCCTGTTATGCCTGAGGGAGGATTTTCACAGTCGGACAGACTAGAGAGGGGGAGGAAAGCCATGGAGTGAGACCAGCTTTCTTTCTCCTGCAGCCAGGTGGCTGACGGGCCCTGGAGCCAAGCACCCTGTGTCTGATGGCTACAGAACGTTTGCCCAGTTAGCTTCTTTGTCTCTTTGCTGTCTACCTGTATGACTAGTGCCCATCTTTATGATAAAAACTATTCCTGTGGACATCAATTTACCTTAACAGGGGAAACTTCCCAGGTCAGATCAAGTATTGTGGCATTTTCCCCTGATAAGCAGTCTCGATGCTATGAGAAATTGACAAGGCAGTGAGCAAAGGATCTTTAAGGAACGTGCATTTAGTTGGGAATTCAAGTCAAATTCATCACTTATTTATCAGGAGTACAACCTCTTATCAATTTGACTGTCCAAGTTAGATCAAAATGACTGAACAACTTGAAACACAATTTTGGATTTTCCCTGAATTTTCATGCAAAGCAAAAATGAGAATACAAATCTAAAGACCTCTATGCTCAGTCAGCATGCTGTCTGCTATAAGGATGTTTTGCCTATAAACATAATCTCTTTCTAGTTTGTAAGGGTGAAATCTGTAGAACAGTTACCTTCCTCTGCAGAGTTAGTCCCCTTTTTCAGGAAGTGCAATGCTTTGGGAACAACCCAGAAATGAGTAATCCCCCAGTGCTGATGAAACGCCAACTATTTTCATGTTCACACCTAAGAAAGTCATCCCCAAACACCTTCTCAAGGTCACCGAAAACATTCTTGGTAGGAAAAATAAGTGATTTCTAAACTGCCTGACCTCCCCTCTCCTGGACTTCATCCAGGTGTTGAAATGGTTCAGCGAATAAACCAACAAGTTATGAGGCTCATTGCTTGATTACGATGTGGCTCCTAAACGCAGTTCCTCCTCTTCGCAGACAGCCGGAGCGATCCAGCTTGTGACTCATGCACAGCAGGCCTCGTTAGTCATGGTTTGAATCTGTTTTTCTTTCTTCATGGATCTTCCTGACCAACAGTTTAGTATTTTTGATGACCTAAAAGTAAAAACAACCCCTGGCCCTCCATTTCAATCTTTTTGCCCTTCAGGTTTAAAAGATCAAAGGGATGAGTTCAGATTATTACTCTGAGTTTTGACCAAGGTATGTGGTGGGTAAAACCAAGACCTTAATTGACGTGACTATATCTGGTGTTTATAGTAAACACACTATTTTCTCCAAGTCACCCAGGCACTCTGGCCTGAAGAAGCTGGATAAACAGCTCTCTGCTCCATGTGTGGTGTCTCTTTCTGGGAGAGTGACCTCAAAAGAAGGCGAACAAGAAGCTCTGTTCAATAGGAATAATAGCTCACACCTGAGAAAATGGATGTGAAACCTTTTTCAAGGTGGCAAAGTGGTATAGACCTGTGGGACATTTTTAATATATCATTAAAATATTAATGTTGTTTTGAGAGAATCTACCCCCCATGCTGAATAATCTCATAGCTTCTTCATGATTTGACCTTAGCACAGGTTGACCCTTGAGAGGTATTCTGGCCTTGATGGCCTTGCTCTGCATATAGTTCCAGGTAGCTGGACATACCTCGTGAAAATGATAGAGTGGGTATGGCTCAGTGGGTCCATGTTCCAGGTCTTGTAATAATGCCTGTCTATGCATCATTAAAAAAAGGAAAAATAGATCGAGAAACATTTCCATAATGTTTCAAGCTGGCTGATAAAATATTCCACAAAAATTGATATATGTAGTTATTTTGATTTACACAGGTAGTAGGATAAGATGACTTCAAAGTTCATGTCCTAAAATATTGCCCCTTAAAAAAATGTGTAAAACATAGGTGAGCCTCCCTTTAAGAAATTCTTTTAAACTTTTACATTTTTTTATTTTTATTTTTTAAGATTTTATTTATTTATTTTTAGACAGAAGGGAAGAGAGGGAGACAGAGAGGGAGAGAAACATCAATGTGAGGTTGCCTCTCGTGTGCCCCCCTACTGGGGACCAGGCCTGCAACCCAGGCATGTGCCCTGACTGGGAATCGAACCAGCAACTCTTTGGTTTGCAGGCTGATACTCAATCCACTGAACCACATCATCCAGCGTCCTTTAAGAAAATTTAAAAACACAAATCAATACAGTTGATTTGGCTATTTATTTGAAAAAATTCTTCTAATAAATTAAAATGATTCAACTTTTAAAACATTTTAGGAACTATATCAATCAAAGCAAGATGAATATGACTTTACTACATTTTTATTGAATTCCAAAATAATAGAGATATTATAACTTTAAATAAATCTTGCTATCACAACACGAAGATATTTTCTTTTAGAAAAGTAAGCTCTGCTCCTCCATATCAAACTCCTTATTTCTAATGTTGTAAAACAAGAGGAATATTACATATTACCATTCACTCTGAAGTTCACATAAGATTACAAATTTTCATAAAAAATAAATGACACATCCACAGAAAAGAAAAGAACAAGCAAAACGATTCTTGGTCACTTTGGGGCACATTTCTCGCCTTTCCCTTGTTCTTTGACTCTAACTGTTCCGAGTGTTAGTCTATTGGTGTGGTCACAGAAGGGGAAAGAAGGGACATTGACAACTATTAGGGCACCCACTGTACTTAGTAGTGTGTTGGTGAAGATAGCTCACTGACTCGCAGTTAGTAGAGCCACAATTCGTACACTGTTTTATTTATTCTGTGCCAACTAGCTCCCAGGTCTGCGTTCATCTTTGTTCAGTCCACCCAAAATGATATCAGGCCTATGGGCTCTTCCCTGTTCTCCTTCGACTTTCTGGTTTGCTACTTGTACCACATTTAAGGCCTGACATTGTCTCCATTTCCTGTGATCTGCACCAGCACAGGCAAAGTCATCTTGACTTCCATTTGGACTTGGAGAGTATCACCAAGAACAAAACTTGGCTGTAAGAGCCACACTCTCTCTGACCATAAGAACTGCAGATGTACTTTGCTTTCTTCCTGCAAGAAAGTCACTATTAGTTGTTTTATCCCTGGTTTCGAATCTAAGGCAATAGATCTATTTTGTCTTCTGTTTTTTGTTGTTGTTTTTTTTTTTGTGAATCTCATCTTGAATGATTAAGTTGAGGTTGCAGTAAGACCAAAACTAACTCAAACCATCCAACTTTTTAAATTACTCTCAACTCCAAAAAATATAATCATACATTGCCCAGTTCAAAACTAATAGAGCCTTTTTGAAAACGCTGAATATTTTTAAAAGCATATCTCTTTCCCTTATTACTGTTTTCATGGAGTAAGACAAACTATCATCAGCCCTGCCCCAGTTTTCTTACAGCATGTCTTTACCCTACTTGAGAGGCTTAAGACAATTATAACAACTGCCTGGGAAAAGCCACAAAATGTAGTGCCAAATAAGATTCAAGTTTTAAATGACACTTGAGATTTCATTAGAGAGCTAAGGAAGAACAGGACTACAAATTACTTTATTATAACTTAACAAAATTAGAGCACTTTAGCTCTAATGTCACATTGGGGATCATCTTTTGCAACTGAGAGGTAAATGGACTCCCCTAAAATTACATTAGCTGGAGAGAAGCATTTACAACTTAGGTCTTCTAACTGTCCACCTAATTCTCATTCTAGCATACTTCAAGTTACAAGCTTATAAAATGACATTCATTTACTTACTTTATTTTGAAAAGATGGATGGTAGGCAATTAGATAAGAACAACCAATTTTAAGACAAATTAGGAGAAAAGTGTTCGGTTCAAGTACCAGAAAAGAAAAAAAAATGTGTAACAGAAACAATAGTTAAAATATATAATAAATAAGTCATCAGCTTTAGAGAGTGCTACAGCAAGATGATATTCTTCATTAAATGGGGTAGCCTTAGAATTTGGCATCTTTTTCCTGGTTTACAACCCAAATTTCACACATTGACACACTTTGTTTTCCTCACACCTCCTGCCCTTTCCTTCCTTCCTTCCTTTCTTTCTTTTTTCTTTCTTTCTTTCTTTCTTTTCTTTTTTTGCTTTTTTTTTTTTTTTTTTTTTTGCAGTCCAGTGTCCTAGTTCTTCTCTTTCCTTTCCTCTCCTTTTTCTCTTTTTCTTTTTTCTCCTCATTTGGAACACTCCTTGGACTTTAAAATGCTATCATTAATATGTTCTAATATGATAATATGTGGACACTACCTCCAAGATACCAAAAAGTTGGACAGGGACTATGCCTGAAAACACGAAAAATGAAAATAGCTGAGAACCCCTTAGATGATTGACCAAGGTTTGAGTTGTTTGGCTATATTGAGAGCCGTCCTCACCCCACCCAAAGGACTGGATTGAACATGCAACCCCATCTCCTTAAGGCATGAGAGAGGGTCCTCAATGGGTCCACCTAGAGAGTTGATACATGTCCCCTGCTGAGTCATAAAGATTAATCAGTGGGTTTGAGATGCTTAAACCCTGCCTCTTTGAAAGAAAGAACTGGCCTTTGGCTGACTCCTGAGGGATAACTTTATCCCTTGGACTATCCTGCCTGATAAGTATGTGTTTGTATACCTGAGATCTTGAGCCATGCTAGAGAGTTCATGTTTACAAAGTAAATTGTGATGAGTATCTCTGTCTGTTCACAGGGATCTTAGGCCCTGCTCTCTCTGGTTGACCTTTGGAGGGGCTGAAGATGAGCTAAAATCAGACATGTGAGCCCTCCGTGCCTACGTAACTAAGCCTCAGTAAAAATTCTGGACACCAAAGCTTGAGTGAGCTTCCCTGGTATGATCATTTGTACATGTTGTCACACATCATTGCTGGGAGAATTAAGCACACTCCATGCAACTCCACTGGGAGAGGACAGCTGATTACCCTTCACTGATTGTAGCCTGTCTCCTTTTATTGTAATAAACTAGAACCACGAACAAGTGTAATAGCTTATCTGAGGTCTGTCTTTCTAGTGAATTGTTAAATTTGAGCGGGATCTTGGGGACCCTGACACACACACACTTTTTTGTCACAGCAGACACATGTCTAATTCTCACCTGTAAAGTCTAAGAGGCAGAGTCAGGCTACCTAGAGGCTTCAATGGAAGGAACAAAGAAGAAGGAGCTCTGTTCAGTGGTCTGGACCCAAAAGTTTATAGATACAAAGGTTTTATAGAAGATGTGAGCTGGAGTCATTTTCAATTCTTCCAAAAGAAACTTCAGAGAGACTTTAAATCAACTAACAAATTGGGGGATAAGAGAGAGATCCTTATCCTGAGGAAAATGTGTCACTGGTGGCATTGTGAGTATTCCCTGGTTTCTGAAGAATCAGTTTTAAGTACTCATCAGGCACAGAGTTGTAAAGCAAGCTTAAAAGAGTCAATTAAACTAGAACTTTTCCACTCTAATGACTACTCCTCCTTTATTCCCACCCCAAATGTGTACACAAATAGCAGTTAGGAAGTGAGGGAAGAATGAATGAGTCCAAGCTAAGAAGCCAACCAAGAAGTCCCTATGGAAGGCAGGTAGCGCACCAGCAAGAGTCCTGAGAAAGGGAGGAAGGGAGAGGCCTCACCTGCGAATGCACTTGGAGGCTCTGGTTGTTACTTAGGGTTAGACACTTAAAATGACTGAATTGGGTTAGGGTTAATGTATTTAAATGACCAAAAAGTGACAAGAAAAAATCACCAAGTCTGTTTGAAGCAAGCCTCAGTGGGGCGGGGGGTGGGGGGGCAGAGGAAAACTTGTCCTATTGAATAAACTTAAAATGGCAAAGAAAGTATTCGATAAGGTTGTATTACATGCAAATCATGCTTATTTAACACCTGAGTTCCAATTCTAATCTTAGTCTACAAGTTAAACTCTTCTTTTTCTACCTGAATTCCCAAAAGAGAAATAAAATCTAAAATTATGAAAATCAAATCCATAGACAAGTGGAAGAGTACCATAATCAAAGGACCAGAAATTTTCAGCTGTTTCTGAAAGATATAAAGAGATGGGATTTTATTGATTAAAAAAACTAATAACTAAGTAGCTGAAACTTGACTTTTTTTCTTAACAAAATAATAAACACTAGGTAGTCAAAGAGAACTAGGCACACAATAAAACAAAACACAATGAACAGAAGTCAGCAGGAAAACAGACAACAGAAACAGACCTCCAGCTCCAATAAAAGCCAAAGTTGTTACGGTCATCTACACAAGGATATATGATCCATAGCCCCTAAATACACCCTTTCCTTTTTGCTCACTCACCTCTAGCCAAACCAATGTAACTGCTGTTTTTCTCCCATACCATGTGTACCCTTTTCTCAGAGACTTTCCCCAGCTTTCTTCCTCTGTTATCCCTATAGCCTCTTCCTTCAGCTCCTTTAGATCTTAGCTCAAATGTCTTCATCGTAATGAGACTTCCCTGACCACTCTATTGGAGATGCAATCTTTCTCCTAAGGTTGCAATTTCTGTCTCATTTTCCTGCTTTCTTTTTCTCCACAGCATTTGGCACTCTCCACACAGAATATACATTCTCCTATTTGTTTTATTTTATAGTTTGTCTTTTCCCATCAGGATGTAAGTTTTTTGAGGGCAGGAACTTCACCTGGTTTTTTTTTTGCTCCTGTATCCATGGTGCCTAGAATAGTGCCAGGTGCCCAGAAGATGCTCAATACATAAATGTAGAATAAATAAATGAATACTGATGCATCAAGTGCTTAGGAAAAGGCCCAACTTATAGTGATTACTTAATATATTTTATTTTTATAACCAGTATAAGAATTGAAGAAAATAATGTTGACCTGACAGATACAGGTTCTAATCCTGAATTAGTTTCATCAAAGCAGTTTCCAGCAGTGAACTAATTATTTTTTCAAAAAAAAATTTTAACCCAATATTTTAAAAAAGATTTTATTTATTTACTTTTAGAGAGAGAGGAAGAAAGGGAGAGAAACATCCATGCACAAGAGATACATGGTCAGTTGCCTCTCACACGGACCCCAACTAGGGACCTGGCCTGCTACCCAGGCATGTGCCCTGACCAAGAACTGAACTGGCAACCTTTCTGCTCACAGGTTGGCACTCAATCCACTGAGCCACACCAGCCAGGTCAGTGAACTAATTCTTAAATGATGACTTTTGTGAAAATCCTTTTACTTGTGTGAAAAGGGATCACTAACACTTCCTTTGTATGTAAACGCATAAAGAAAGAAATTTGATTTTCTACTATTCCACATGATACAAGCAAAGATGTAAATATATGGCGTTCAGTTTCGATGGCGGTAACTCCTACGATGAAAATATGGGAAGGCTTTGAAAAATGGAGGTGCAGGTGGGACCACCGGGAGATCAGGGTAACTCTACAAATATGTGGTCTGTCCTGAAATTTACCACCCATGATTCTTCCCCAGACAAGTCCCCACACACAGATGGCACTCACAGTATTTCCGTTTTCAATCCAGGTGATGGTAGGGACAGGGATGCCTGTTGCTGTACAACGCAGGGTCACAAAGGAGCCAAAGGTGACATTGTGGGATTCAGGAGCCCGCAGAATTCTGGCAATAACTGTTGGGAAAACAGAAGTAGTGAGTGACGCTCATACATGGGATGGTCAAGCTAGTCTTGCCTTCCAAAAATGCAAATCAGATCATGTTCTCCTGTGTAAAATCCTCCCATGTTCCCTGCATCATAAAGATTACACCAAATGCAATACTCTCTAAGCCGCTTATGCGATGACCCTCCATGTCTCAGCGCTCCAGGGGGCGCCAAGCTCGCTGCCGTCGTCAGCGCCTGCCGACGCTGGCCTCTGGCCCGGAGCGCTCAGGCCCCAAGTCTTCAGGTGGCAGGTTCCTCGTACCATCCAAGTCTCTGTTTGAGTGTCATTTTCTCAGAAAGGCCCCCCTCAGCCACCCAAGATAAAGTATAACCCTCATCCCAGTCCCTTTTTCATTATCCCATTTTATTTTCTTTACAGACCTTACCACTATCAGAAATTATTTATTTTTATCTATTGTCTGCTTCCCTACTCCCCAACAGATGGGGGGTTCTCAATAACCAAAAACTTTGCCTATTTCATTCAGGACCTAGAAGAGTGCCTGACCAAAGTAATAATATTTAATTGAATGAATGAATAATTAATTAATATTTTACCCCTTCAGCCATATCATACTGGGAGGACAGACAAAATCTGTCAAACTTTTCAGAGTATGAAATGAGCATACGGGGCCAAAAAGGAAAAGAAATGTTTTAGGCAAAGTGTGAATAGAAAAATGAGTAATTTGTGTTCCTTTCTGAGGCTGAATCCCTCCCATCTGATTAGATAAAAAGAAGTTCTTTTGATGTGAGAAGAAATTTTACCTGTAACTAAAGGGTGGAGATGAGGCTCAGAAGGAACGAGACATTGAAGGATACTTAGAATCACAGAATCACTAAACTTGGAAGAGCTTCAGAGATCCACAGGATTCCTGCTGTTTTTAAATGGATATAGAAACTAAATCCCAGTTAATTTAAGTTGCTTTCCCAAGGTAATAAAACTCATGAATGAGAAACCTCAACGCAAGTCTTTTGAGCTCAAATCCAGTGCTCTTTAAAACATATGGAATCTTTTAAATTGCCTTTTATATTGTGAATATAGTATGTTATGCCCTTGCCTTTTGTTTTCCAGGACTTAAGTATAGAACATAATATTAGATTATGAAACCCCAAAGAACACAATGCTTTAAAGCTTAGTTTTTCTTATTAATTGAAATTTGTAGAGTTTGGTTTCTAAAGGAAAGTACAGGGAAATAATAGATACTAGACAGGAGATGTACAGAACAATGATGGATCAAGCTCAAAGCTATGTTAGAAGTTGGCCTTATTTTTAAATACCTCTTAAAAAGAATTACTAATTCAAAGAGATAAAGGAAGATACAATTTGTTTGAAAACAGAATTCCTCTTGCAGTTTCTAATTTCAGATTTGCAGGTTCAGATTAATTCGACTTCATATTTCTTGGTATAGAGGACTCTGATGAAATCTAGAACAACATGCTAGATTTCAACAAATCAACAAATGTTGGGCCCAAAAATCAGAAGGGGAAAGCAAGAAAGGTGTCAAGATCAAGGGAACAAGAGGTTTAAAAAAAAAAAGTGGGCCAAATGTTTAAAATGCAGCTGAATCTCCCCCTTCTTCCCCCACAAATAACCCCAAAGTGAGCCTGTGGTCTAATTATCAACCTACACAAAATAGAGGGTTGACAAACATGTTAAATAATTCAGTGAGGATACAATTCAATCAAATCCATAATATGGAAGATTCAGCAAAGCAAATTATTTATTCTCCTCAACAAATGAATAAAAAAATAGAAAGAGGTACTATAGACTGAAAAAGACTCATGAGCCATAACCCCACATATAATGCATAGGTCTTGTTTGGATTATTTTCCATAATTCAGATGTAAAAAGATATTTTTTGAGACAATAAGATAAATATTGTACTATCCTGGCAATAAATGTCATTAAGAAATTAGTACTAACTGGGAATGGGTGCGGTAATGAAAATGGTAATGTGATTATGTTGAAAAAAAAAAGTCCTTACATTACAGTACATGTGGATGGATTGAATTAATGTCTGAGATTTGCTTTAAAATAAATCAGCAGCAATAACATAGTGGGGTAGATGAAACTAGGATGATAGACTATTGATCAACTGTTGCTGTTGAGTAATAAGAGCTTGGGAATTTACTATATTATTGTACCTACCTTTTTTGTAAGATTGACAGTTTTATAATAACATGAAATTTTAAATAACGGTAACAGAGCCTGCCCCACGGCTCCAAAATAACATGTGATGGGACATAGTTCTTCTGCCACTGAAAGAGCATAAGTTTTAGAAAACCTAAAACCTGCAGGAAGGTACATTCCTGAGGAGAAACATTTGGCAGAGGTATTGGTTCAAAGAGCTTCAGAAATGTCCACAACCATTTTAGATCAAAACTTGACGGCGATGATTCTAAGTTGAGCTAACATGTGAGACTCGGTGAAAATTTTCCCCTGCAGGCAACACTTGCAGCCTGAAAAATTCCATAACAAAAGGAGTGGCAGTCACTACTGCGGTCAGAGGGTGAGCTGCAGGAGCAGGCGACCTGTGCTGCCCCGCAGGGCACCGTGCTTACAGGGCCCCTGTGTGGCTTGTCTTCCGCTGTCCATGTCTTGCAATTATTAGTGCTTTTTGAAGGAGGGGTCCCTGAATTGCCATTCACATTCTGATTCACAGATTATGGAGCCAGTCCTGATAGTCAGGGCTAAAAATGCTTTCGTAAAAGAGGGGGTGAATGCTGCACCTCCCCTGAAGTTCCAGAACAAGAAGGCTCAAAGGGGAAATGGTAAATAAAAAGTTGCAAATGTGCTGGATGGATCCAAAGAAGTGTCAGTTGAGATTAGATGACAGAGGCTGACCCCACTGGAAATTCTAAATTTCTCAAGAAGACAAGCCAGCTAGGAGGCAGTGCACATCTCTGCCAGAGCGACCAACGTGGTGACCCTTCTGAGCACCTGATAGGAGATTTCTCTCAATGTAGCTCAAGTTCACAGGCTGCAAACACTTGAAAACTAACACAGGCTAACTGGCATCCTAGCAAGGGTGAGTCCACGTAATCTTGTCTTTTCTAATGTTTTTTTGCAACAATAATGGAGACCTAGATTGCACAACATTCTTGATACCATGTTCATCATTTGGGTGAAATAACTCTTGCAGGTGTTGTGGCTGTCCATGTATGTCTTAAATTTTGGGGGAGTGCAACTACTACAATAATTATTTTATGGGTCCCATTTCCTCTGAGAATCTGAAAGAAAGCAGGATCCTTGAGTGACTGAGAGTGGGATTATTTCAATCCAATAGGTGCTATGGAAGTGTACGTAGCAGCTGCTGAACATAACACTGACTGTACCCTTGAACTTGAATTAGAGCCTTCTGGCTGAAGATGAGAAGGATAAGAAATTATGGAAGAATGGAATCTACATGACTTTCTGTTTAATTTATAAAGACACGAGTTGTCATTTGGGGACCTTAAATTCTTCCTGGAAATTTAGTAACAAGGGAGGGTTTATTTTGTTGTAATTTGCAGTTCCTTTTTTTCCCCCTTTCAGCTGGTATTACATTATTTGGAATGTCGCTCGGGGTCATTGCAAAACCTCTGATGATCCATATTGCACAACACAGCTAAGCATAAAGTGAGATGGTGAATAAAATAGTCAATTATCATTCTAGACTTCAATGTGGCCTCAGAGTTAATTTAATTAATATACTGCTCTGTCCCATATTAGAACCTTCAGGGAGGTCCAGTGGGGCACAGGAGGGTACTTAAAGGAGGACTATTGGCATTGCATGTGGCTTTACAAACGTGCTAACAAACTGCTGGTCTCCTCCTTCAAGTTTCATCGTTAAGTCTAGTGAGTTAAGAGAATGAAAAATCAGGAATTAAAGAGAAGCCGGTCACTCATGTACTTCCACATTCTTGCCAAAAGGTAAAACAGAAACTTCTCCTTTTTCACAGTCCTGAAAGATAGCTTCCACCCTTCCTGCCTGTTTCCCTCCCTCAAAGAAGGTTGCCAATGTGTCCTGGGTTTCAACTCAAATGTCTCTTTATCATAAGGCTTTCTGGACCCATCACCTTGACCCTTGTCTATGTTTTGTCATAGCATTTATCATCCTGTCTTAACTATTGATTTGTTTGGCTTTTGGCTGTCTCTCCCCACAGAATGGGAGCATCATAAGAGCAGAGCTTGCTTTGTTCATTTACACAGGCTGATTGATAAACAGATGATTGATCAATGGGTAGATAGAGAGACAGACAGACACACAGACAGACAGATGATTCAGGATCCTCCATGGTATATGATTGGCACTCATACACATTTATTGAATGAATAAATGAGTGAATGAGTGAATGACTCCTCTGATTGGTGAGACTGGGAAAAGGGACTTGTACATCTTCCGGCTATCTCAGACCTCTCTGTGCCATCTGTCTCCCAGCTACCCTGCAGTCAGTGAAGGTGTGGGGTTAACGTGCAGGAGACAAGTTCCCCAGGCCAGGGCTTTCCATCCCACAACTCAGAGTGAAAAGCAGGAGAGTGGGAGGGGCGGGGGGGGGGGGGATGAGGAAACAGAAGTTATGTGAGTCTAACTCTTAGATGAAGGAATAGAACACTCTATTTTTCAGTCCAGTTTTATCAGCAACAACACTGATTATTTTTATACCCATCTGTATTTGTTACCAGTTCTAAGCATAAAAGGTAAAGGGTTGGTGAGAGGAATTCCACCACATTTATCAAACATTGAAAACAATAAAGCCTGTTGCAATTAAAAATAAATGCCAGGCTAACCTCCATGGATAATAATACACCTGTAATAATAAATGTAGTCATAGTTCAATAATAAACTCCCATTATTTTAGTGTTAGCCACAGCTGAAATTACATTCTAGGTCATTAACTTTAAAAGTAATGTGATATGTTTCATATCAAGTAATATGTCTGTTGAGTATTCCTACTTGTACTTTATCTGCATGAAAGACAATATAGGAGTGTTTTTGTCACATTGGTAAGCTGTTTAATAGGAGGGGCATGACATTACTTAGTGATTTAGAAAATGTCTACAACTGTTTTGCGATGGATTTTTGAAGAAAAAGAATTACCCAGCCTTCTTTCAATAAATGCTAGTCATCATTCTCCAATTCACTCTGAGCTCTCTGCTACTTGCTTTTCTATTGTTCATCTGCAACATGGAAAACAGACATGGGTAATCTATTTATCCCTGGGTTGTTTCTCATGGTATCTAGTCACGAGTTTGGGCCTTAAATTTCTTTTGGATTAGTTTATAGTGCTAACCGTAGGTTTAGAATCTTATATTCAAAACTGGACTTAAGCAGCAAGTGATTCCAAAGTTCTTCATAGCATAATCATATCATGTTCTTCCCCCTTTCTCCCTGTCTTGCTGTCTCTCTGTCCATTTTTCAAAGCACTTTCAAATATGTTTTATTATTGATGATAACTGCCAGGGGTAATCTGAATCTGTAATAAGGAAGGACGGCCTTTCCTCGCTCTGAAATTGCACTAGCAGTGTAATGGAAGCCTAATGGGCAGGATCCAAATTTAAGTCCTGAAATTAATGAGCAGTTGGGCTTAAGATGAGCTACCTCTCTTTTCTTGGTAAGGGAGTAAGACCGCAGGAATATTTAAGTCCCTAATTAATTCTGTTTGAGTGATTATCTCAGAGGACATAATGAGTTCACATGGATTTTACTGTTATTTTCTCTTGTTCTTTTCTTTCTCATTTTCTAGTTTTCCTTAAAGAGGTTTTTAAGGTTACTTGATTTAAATAAAAAATAGCTGGTAGGAGGAAAGTGAACTCAAACACGAACAAAACTAAACTAAAAAAAAAACAATCACACAGGAACAAGGGAAATGATTTCATCTAAATTTAGTTGTGAGCACCTTGATGTTTAAAAACAGGGACACATCTTGAACACGTCCTTTGCATTAGTAAGATAAGGAGGTGCTGCTTCAGTAATACCAGCTAAAGCTGATTCCTGGAACAAAGCCACATTATGTGAGAACTTGTTGATTTCATCCAAAAATATAAAAGTTTAGGTTAGACCAACACAACATTTAAGTCTAAATCAGGAAGAAAGGTGCTTTCTTGGAAGGAAAGCTCTCGTTCTACAATAGGTTTTTTTTTTTCCCCAAAGAAACTCAATTTTCAGCCATTTTCCACTAGATATGTTCCCCTAATGAGATATAGATAGATAGATAGATAGATAGATAGATAGATAGATAGATCTGTGTACAATTAAAAATTAATTTAAATTGTATGATTTGGTTTGATTTGGAGAAATTGCATAATACTTGTCCTCTTAACATAGTAACAATAAAAACCTAAGCCAGCACCTTGACACTTCCACATTTCTTCAGAGATCACAACACATCCTCCCTCCCCAAAAGGCTATTCAAAGGGTTACTTTCCATTCCAATCAGTGTGATATTTATAGTTTCATGCTGATTTATGTCCTTTCACTTTGTCTGCATTTTCAGAGTTTGGAATTCCAAGTTTAAACATTTCTGTTGACTCAATCTTTTCTTAATAAAATAGTCAACAAGTATACTATCGACTATTCACAGTATAATAAAGCAGCCCATCTAATGATGCTCTATTAAATGCTGACTAATATTCCCCATACATTGTTATTTCCTTACTACATAAGGCACTTAGATTTGTTCATAAGGTCAGCAGAAATAAACAACTGAATAAAGCCATACATTTAAAAAGCAGTGCAGAAAGGAAAAAAATACCTTTATTATCTTGCTCAGGTTCACTTTCTTCTGTTAATAGAAACAAGACAAAACAAACGAACAAAAGAGACACACAAACAAAAACAACGCATCATGAAAAGGAAAATCTTTGAGCACAGAAATATCAGTTGTGCACCAAGACTAATTAGAATCTGCTTGTTTCTTACTGCAATAAATAAGAAACAAATGCAATCAAGGGAAACTGCTGACATTTGAAAAGCCAACTATTAAATGATGTAAAATTTCAAATTATTACTTTTAGTCAGGCAGCACTACAGAGAAAATAAACTAACTACAACATACCCAACAACGCAGCTCGTTCATGCATTTTTATTTTAACATTGACAATGACCCTTTCTTTCAAGGTAACAGACTGCCTACTCTATTCTTACATATGGTGCTGCTTCTGGTTAGCACAGCTTCTCCTCTGACAAGGCCCTGCTGTGAAGTCATTGATGCTGACTCTGGGCTCTCAGCTATCATTTCTATGGCAATAGACTCGTGTTGTGGTAAACAGAGGATTAGGGGTTTCTGCAGAACAGAGCCTGTGCCCAGCGGAGACTGTTTCAACTCTGAGGCTGCTCAGAGAGCCGAGAGGATCGACCTATTATCTTCTGGGAAACTACAGGTGAGGCAAGCTACAAAGAAAGTGTAAAAATGTCTACAGTAAGTACACAGAATTGGGAATTTATAAATTTTTTTAAACCCTAGAAAAGAGACAATTAATTGTCCCAAAGTGTTTAATATAACCATATCAGATACAGATTTTACGTGCAACTCTATTTTTCTTTCTGAAAAGGTTTACTTGTTCATGTCAATTTAGACTTTTCTTCAAATGAGTGATAAGCTAACTGCAACATGTAAGTATAAAACAGCAATGCCATTACTAACTGCTTCCAATGCCAAGACTACATTGCATAGTTCTTCACAGATTATGGATATTTTCACCCATTACACATTATCTCATTTAACCCTGACCACTGCCCTCTGATTGTACATAACTGATACCATTCAGCCCATTTTTCCAAACAAGGAACCCGAGACTCACAGATTTGCTGCAGGTGCAAAGCCACCATTTTTCAGCATGACACCTAGTAGCATCACAGTGGGAAGGCCTCGTTTTCACACTTCACACCCAATCCTCTTACATTAAGTGAACTGCTAATTTCCCATTTAGACTTTTCTATGTCTGAACTTTTCCTACCACCACCAACTGATCAGTGGCACATTCTTATTTTATTTTATTTTATTTTTTAATTATTAAGGTCAAAAACTTCTTAAAAGTTCTGTGAACATAAAAGGGGCTATGTAATAAAACTGACATGCTCAGGGGTCCACATGGCAGCCCTGACAAGCTCGGTGGCTGAGCGTAACTACACAGGACTGTCCGATTATAAATTCCTACCTGGGCAGGCCTCGCGGGGAGTCTCATCCCAGGCCCATAGCTTCCTTAGCAAAGGCCAGTCTTTACCTAAAGGGAGCCCTGCCCATGGTCCCTAGAATAACAGACCTTCAAAACAACATTAGAGTAATTTTCTTTTTTAAATGTCTTGAAGGCACAACCACAGGCATCAGAGAACAAGACCACAGAAGCCCTCATTGTTATTTTGTTCCCCACATACCATCTCCACGTGCTGCAAATGTTAATTATTAACTATCCTATACCCACCAGTGTAAATGAAGTATTATGTTTCTTCATTTTGCTTTTGATCCATTCCTAGAGATTTCCCTACATGGCTTCCCCCCACCTCCTTATCTACCACCAATGGCTTCATGAACCTTCCTTATGTTTTCTCCTTTGGTTCTATATGCATAAAAGGAACTGGAAAATGCCATTCCCCAGAACATTTTTTCAGTCCATTGAGATCTTCTTGCTTCGGGGCATGGCCTCAAAAATTTGGCTCAGAAACACTCTTATAAAACTTTTCTATAGGTTTGGATATTCTTTCATTGACATTTCTAAATTGAATACATTTATGGTTAAAAAGAGATGTAGAAGTTGTTTGTCAAATGTAGCTCTAAACAAAACAAACGTTTTTGTTGTTGTTTTTTTAAAACAACATTCCTAACAGGTAAAGCATAGATATTGGATACATATGAGGTTTTCCCCATTGTTAAAACTGCTCATCTGGACACTTAAAAACTGCAGAAATTCTCTGTTTATAACAAAGCTTAATCAGAAGAAGTAAATGAAGGTCCATGGTTAGACCAGATTAGGCCTCAAAAATTTCATTTGAATGCCTTTGGGCTGGGCATATCTTTCTAGTTCCTCAGTACAATTGTGCTTATTTCCAAGCTTGGAAAAAAATGATTTTTTTTTTACCAGCCAAATATATATAAGTGGCTGAGATGGGCATGTACTCCAATGGGAAGTGTCTTATGCCTGAGCTGCTGTATCTCCAGTTTTATTCCACTGAAGTTCAAGGGCCTCAGTGAATTTTGAGCATCTTATTCAGTCATAGTTTTCTGCTCTTACACTACTCTCTTCAGGGTTCTGTAACAAATGCAGGTAAATTCCGGGACTCTTCGATCTTACTCCAGTGATCTTTTCCTGCACTGCGCTTAAAGTGTGCCCTGAGAACAATGTTGATTTTCCTTTGCTATTTTTCACTTTGTTGTTATTGTTGTGACTATTGTTCATTTTGCTTGATTTGTTTGGAATCAGAAGCAGTGCAAAGTTTTGAAAGAACGCACTCATTTCCTCCACTGCAGATATAAAGAACCAACTCAAGAGATGAAAGAACTAATATCTGAAGTTGCCATCTTCCTAGAATGAGGCTTACAAGTTTTACCAGAAATTACATTTTCATATATACACTCTCAAAATCTTTTTCATGCATAAATGCAAATACACATCTTTATACATACATATGTATATTTGCTTATGTATTAATACACACATACGTACACACATTCACACACAATTGAGGTTACTTTAAATTAGAGAAATTAGGCAAGCATACTCTGCAATATCTATTTAAGCCTGAGTACACTCATTAAGCATACTCAGACTGTCATTTCAAAGTCAAACTGTTGTCCTGGTTTTTCCACGTATCCTACTTACCTAGACTACGATGATCCCTCTTGACTTCTGAATTTATTGTTTTCACCAGTTATCAACTTTAAAATTTTCCTGCCTCATGGTCTTTATTCCCATTTGATTTCTGAATTCTCATTTAACTGCTTTACGTGTAATGCATCTGTGGTCTTTTCTTCCAAACGGATTTGGAACCTCCTTTGGGGAGTCAGGGAGTGGGCAGCATAGCATACTTTACTTTGGTTTGTGTCGCCCTCCCCCACCAAAGTCCCGCATCAGCTCTTACAGAAAAAGGAAAATGAGTGGAATGAGGGACTTTTTTTTTCCTTTACTTTTTGGGATAATTCAGTAGAACATTTAAAATAGAGAATCAAAGACTTCTCTTATTGGAAAAATCTGGGATATAATCAATATCCAAGTTAAAAAGTATATCCATTTTCTTGAATACTTTGATTTATGGGCAACTTAGTACTATCATACCAACCCATTTCAAACAATTCTGTTAAAATAAATGCTCTAAATCAAATGAAAACCAGTCTCCTTATAATTAGTTATCACCTACAAGAACTAGTTCCTGCATCTATCCATTGAACCAAAAAGATCTATAAAATACTTTCATTTATCCAAACATGCTGGCCTCAGTTCACCATCCTCTTATCATCTAAATTTACCTGGAACTGAAACTAACATATACATAGAGTCTTACAAATTCAAAGAATGCAAGACTCTTTCTAAATACTCTAATTCTATGAATATAACTTGGCATAAGTTTTTATTTGCTGTCATATAATACTACAGTTAGGTCATTGCAAATCAGGAATATTCAATACTCATTTTTACATGTGCTCTTATTAAGACCTAGCTCCCCAATTTTGAACACGAATCTGTATGTGCGTATGTGTGTGAAAATTGTCTGATTCTGAGAAAGATAAAATAAGTTTTTCCTATTCCATTCACTGTAGTATCTTATTGGAGAAGGAATTTAGTGGGGGGATGTATTGTTATATGGGAGGAGGGAAAGTCATCAAGGTTCCCTGGTAGAAATAAAAGAAATGCAGTTAGGAAAATTATACTGGTCATGCAGACCTTGTGGAGAGAAAGAAACACAAGCAGAAGAGAAAACAGACAGAACTGTGGGATAGTTTGCATTCTTCTGACTGTAAGAGTGAGGAGCACCAAGAAGATAATAGTAATTTAGTTACCTAGAGTAGAAGTCTTGCCAAGATGGTGATAGTGCATCCTTTGCTCTTTGAACGATGGCATTGCTTGTAACTTTCTTCATAGTCAATATCTTAAAGAAATTCCTGACTATCTGGTGTTCTAAGGACATCATTCTATGGGTTTTTCTCAGGACATATCCAGAAACTGGGAAATCAAATTTGGGTCAATAGGATCCTTTCCTTATACTTAGTCACGCACAATATACCCTTAAAACAACCCAGGCAGCTGGATCTGAGCTTGGATCTTCACTCTACTGCTTACTAGCTGTTTAATCTGGGCTACTACACTGCCCAGTTTCTCTGAACTTCATTTGTTTCAGGTAGAAAATGTAGATAACAACTCCCAGCTCATAGAATTATGGAGAAGAAGAGATTATACAATTTGTGTAAAGCAATTCATTCAGCAACACAACTAGAAAGTCCTGAAGGCAGGACTCCTGACTCCCTTCCCTGCCTTCCTCTCTCCCTCCCTGTCTCCCTCTCTCTCCCCCTCCCTTCCTTTCTGGAGCTATTTCGGGCTCTAGTATATCTTCTGGGCTCATGAAAGCTTTTCTTCCACCTGCCTTTAAAGGAAAGAGTTTATAAATTTTTATTTTATTTTTAAATTTCAATTTGCCTTAGCTGGCTACATTTCAGATATTAATATGTTGAGTGCCCTTTCTGTAGGTGTTAAAAGGGTGTGTTTAAATCCATCCCTCAATTATCCAACAAGAGAGAAATCCCTCTGTAGAAAGAGAAATCCATTTCTCAGATCCTGTTTTTAAAACATGGAG